ATCAGACAGGCAGTCAGTCAGGACGCCAGTAGTCCTGGAGTTAAGGGTGGAGGCAGAGAGAGAGAGTTGGGTGTCATCCGCATACATGTGGAAATTTATTCCATGACACCGGTGGACTCTCAAAGCTCTCATTTAAACTGATGACGACTATTCTCCCCTTTTCCACTTCTAAAGAAAATTTCAATTGCTATCCAGAAAACGAATTTGGCGACTTGTTGGATATGATGTTTAAATTTAGACGTGAGCTAAAGTTTTTTTTTGTACTTGTTTTATTGGCTAAGATGTGCTCATTGGGGTCATACGCTTGGTATTCACAATCTGAATTTGAAAGGTTCATAAATAATGAATCCTGCTGGGAACCAGATGTACATTACCCCAACCCAGTCGATCTCCACTCTGACAATCTCCAAAGGAATTTTGCATCAGAGCAGAGATCTTGTGGGTTTTGTAACATTATTCTGGTTACTGTCAGGATTTCATATTTTAAGATTCTTTATGAATCCAAGGTTGTGACTCCTGCATTTTAGACCCTAATACGTTACCTTGTGTTGCTGAAGGTATCAGATAATCGTGATCTACCCTGCAATGTCACCATTTATGACCTCACAGGTCCATGTAGGTGACATATCTAGTTGTGATGTATTAAAATAACAATTGTAAAATAAATTTTAGTTAATGAGAATGATCTAATAATTGAGCTTTCATTCACTGGAATATTGCTTGAAGTTTTATATTCAGTCATCAAGTATTGTTGGTAGATCGGGTGAGATCAGCAAGCAAGACTACCGTGCGCAATTGACTGCTATGCTTTGCCCACAAAATATATAGTATTCAATTTACAGTATATTCTGTGAAGCGCTTTGAGATGTCTCGAAGACGTGATAAGACGTTATATCAAATGCAAGGATTATTATTATTAAGATGAGAGTTTTCTACATGAGTATTATCTACTTTGTCAGATGAAGGACAGCTCTGTCTACTATTTCAAATGCAAGGATTATTATAAATTCTCACTATAACGTGGATTGGCTTATGAATGGGGTTGAGGGTGGGTGCTATATAAACATAAATTGTATATTGTTATAATCATTCCCTTAAATTGTTTAGTATTTGGTGCGTTATTCTTTAGAACCAGAATTTTATAAACTATTTTTAATAATCCTCGTATTTTGATATGGTATCTTATCACATCATTGGGATGTCTCAAAGTGCATCACAGAATACACTAAAGTGGTATGCAACCTTGGCGTCAGGTTCGACCCCCAATTGTCCTTTCTCCCCCACATCCAGTCCATCACCAGCACCGCTTTCTTCCACCTCCGACACATCGCCCGTCTCCGCAAATACCTCTCTCCGAAGGCTGCTGAAACCCTAGTCCATGCCTTTGTCACCTCTAGGCTGTACTACTATAACACCCTCCTCACCAGTCTCCCATCCACCACAATCCATAAAATCTAAATCATCCAAAACTCTGCCGCCTGCATTCTCACCCGCACCAAACTCCACTCCCTGATCACCCCAGTCCTTGCCAGACTGCACTGACTGCCTATCCCAGAGAGGATCGATTTCAAGATCCTCACCCTTGTATTCAAATCCCTCCACTCCTTAGCACCCCCCTACCTCTCTGACCTCCTCTTTCCTCAAAACAGTACCCGTTGCCTTTGTTCCTCCGGGTCTGGCCTCCTCCTCGTCCCCCGAGTCCTCCGCTCCACCCTTGGCGGCCGTGCCTTCAGCCACTATGCCCCGAGGCTCTGGAATTCCCTTCCTCACTCCCTTTACCTCGCTCCCTCTCTTCCTACTTTCAGGTCCCTACTGAAGACCTTTTCGACCGTGCCTTTGGTCACCTTCCTCCCCCTCCCACTGGCTCGGCCCTGGGATTCGTTACTGTGAAGCGCTCTGAGATGCCATCCGGCGTGGAGGGTGCTATATAAATCCAAGTTGTTGTTGTTATGATAGTGTGTCATTGTGGATAAACTCAGCAGCGAATTTACGCACAACAGTGACCCTCAACCAGCAAAGTGAATCGTCAGCTTAATTCAAGTTAGGAGCTTTCTTATTTGAAATGTGAAGATTCACCCTTTGAAGCCCCACGTATATATAGTATGTACTCAAGTAGGGAGGGGAAAGGTGACTGAAAACGTGGTCAAAAACATGTAAAGGAAGTGTCTGGGATAACCCAATTCAAGCTATGGGAGAAAAGTCTTGTTCCACTTACTATGACAGCTGGTAACTTAGTGATTCTATCAGTCACTCTTTCATCCCATTACACTCTACAGTGCACTGTGGATGCTGCTTCCAAACATTGTTCTCTTGCTTTGCCTCACAGAGGAGCAAGAGAAAAAGTGTTGATTGACTGGAAGCATTGGCGATTCCCACAGCCAGTCAGGCTAGACACAAGAGTGCATTAATATTGCTTCTGGAGTATCAGCTTTTCACAGTACTTGATTTCAAGATCCTCATCCTCACCTACAAGGCCATTCACGGCCTCGCTCCCTCCTACCTCTCCAACCTACTATCCCCCTACCTACCTGCCCGTACCCTCCGTTCCTCTGGCTCTGGTCTGCTTCACGTCCCCCGCCCCAACCGCCCTACCATCGGTGGTCGGGCCTTCAGCCTCTCAGCCCCCAGGCTCTGGAACTCCATCCCCCAGTGCCTTCGCCGCCTCCTCCCTTTCCTCCTTCAAGGCCGGTCTCAAAACCTTTCTCTTTGACCGAGCCTTCAGCTCCCCTCTCGACTCTCTTCCCCCTCCTCGCTCCCTCCCTTCCCTCCCCTCACCCTGACCATTTCCCCCCTCCTTGCTCCCTCCCTTCCCTCCCCTCACCCTGACCATTTCCCCCCTCCTCGCTCCCTCCCTTCCCTCCCCTCACCCTGACCATTTCCCCCCTCCTCGTTCCCTCCCTTCCCTCCCCTCACCCTGACCATTTCCCCCCGCTCGGGTCATGACCCAACTGTGCAGCGCCTTGGGACGTCCTCCTGACGTGAAAGGCGCTTTATAAATGGAATCTTGTTGTTGTTGAGCAGGAAGCTGGCCTTTGACTGCTGTTAATGTTCTTGCGAGTGAGAGGTGCTATGCTCTTGCTACAAAATATTGCTCGCTAACATTGACTTCTAGTGTATTTTAATGATTTGCTAAGCGTGACCAGGTTGGCCAAGAATAAACTGTCATTAAAGTTTGTGTGACCCAGCTCTTTTATATCATACCCTTTCTTTAGTATTTGAATTTGATGTAAGGATTATTGTAACATTCAGATAATCCTCATATTTGATATGGCACCTTATGTAATTGAGCGCTTCAAAGCGCTTCACAAAATGTATTGTAAAGTAAATTGACTGCATTTTGTGGATAAACAGTCATGGATTGAGTAACCATTTTTTGGGAGGAATTATTACCCCAGGAAAACGATCCGCCAATCGACGAACAACTCTGGTCCTACTTGCTACTAGATAAATAGAGGCGTGTGCTACCAGGTCCTACTTTTCACACCGCCTCCATTTCGTCGCGGCAAACGGTTTCTCCTCCAGCCCCTGCACTGTCTCGTGCAGTGTTCCTCAGGGCTCCGTCCTCGGTCCCATCCTCTTCACCCTCTACATGCTCCCCCTCGGTGACATCATCCGCAGAGATGGGGTAAATTTTCACATGTATGCGGATGACACCCAACTCTATCTCTCTGCCTCCACCCTCAACTCCAGGACTACTGGCGACCTGACCGACTGCCTGTCTGACATCAAGTCCTGGACAAGGGACAACTTTCTCCAACTCAACGTCAGCAAGACCGAAGCCCTCCTGATTGACTCGCGCCAGCGCCTCCGCACCTCAGGCGTTGGCAGCATCATCCTCCATAGCTGCACTCTCAACCTCACTAAGCCAGTCAGGAACCTGGGTATCTTGTTTGACCCTGAACTGTCCTTTCTTCCCCACATCCGCGCCATGACCGGCACTGCCTACCACCACCTCCGCAACATTGCCAGACTCCGCCACTGCCTCACCCCTCAGGCTGCCGAAACCCTCACCCACGCATTCATCACCTCATGGCTCGATTACGGGAACTCCTTCCTCATCGGCCTTCCCAACTCTTCCCTTCACAAGCTGCAGATCATCCAAAACTCTGCAGCTCGTGTACTCTCACGCACCAGGCTCTGTGACCCCATCACTTCCACTCTCGCCCGACTCCACTGGCTCCTCGTCCCCCAGAGGATCAAGTTCAAGATCCTCGTCCTCACCTTTAAGGCCATCAATGGCCTTGCCCCCTCCTACCTCTCTGACCTGCTGACTCTCTACCAACCTCCCTGCTCCCTCCGCTCATCAGGCTCCGGGCTGCTCGATGTCTACCGCCCTACCATCGGTGGCCGGGCTTTCAGCCTCTCTGTCCCCACATCCTGGAACTCCATCCCACGTTCCCTTCGCCTCGCTTCCTCCCTTGCCTCCTTCAAGGCCGGTCTCAAGACCCTTCTCTTCGACCGTGCCTTTGGTCTCCCTCCCACCTCTCTGCCTTCCCTCACCGCTACACCACCCCACCCCCATGCTTGGGCCCTGACACCTGACTGTTCAGCGCTTTGGGACGTCCTTCCGATGTGAAAGGCGCTCTATAAATGTAATCTTGTTGTGTGGAGTAAGGAAACTTGCCTAAGGTTTTGCCCTGCCTGGGAATCAATTAGGGTCCTCTCACTTGAAAGGCGAGCGAGCTAACCACTATGCTATGAGACTGCATTTTATTTTATTAGTATCAAATTTCAGTGATTGCTTTTTATATTAAAGAAGGATGAGAATATTTGGGGTTTTTTTAACCTGCAAGACCATGATTTCCATGTTTTTGCCTTCCAATTTTTTTAATTGAAGCGGGAGTGGGGGTGTCCATCTGTTTACTATATTGAATGAGCTTTTCAAATCTGGACAATTTGATGCCCAAACAGACATTTTTGAAGTTCAATAACGAGAATATTTTGTTATGGTGTGAGATATGAAATAGTGCATAATAATGGTGATAATTTATACCTTTCAGTATGCGAGTATTGAAGAGAATGGCGTGCACTACATGTCTGCAGTTGATTTTGTCAAAAGGTTTATGGCTTTCTATGATGACGCAGAAGCCAACCCCAACTCAGTGCAGCTGCTTGCAAGTGCCGTACATCAAACCAAAGATGGGCAAGTATAATAAAAATGATTATTAATCCTTCCATTTGGTATAGCACCTTTCACATTGGGACGATGTCTCGAATCCCTTCATTACATGTACTGCATATTTGGTAGGCAAAACATGACAAGCAATTTGCAGATAGTAATGCCTCGCAAATAGACATGAAGTGAAGGAACAATTTTATTTATGGCCAAAACTTTTTTATTTTATTTGTTGGCCAGGACTTTTTTGTCCACAAATATACAGTCAATTCACTTTACAGTATATTCTGTGAAGCGCTTTGAGATGTCTAGAAGACGTGAAAAGTGCTATATCAAAAGCAAGAATTATTATTATTAGAGAAACTCTTCTCTTTGAATAGTACCATGGGATCTTTAACGTCTACCTAAATGGATAGCGTTAGTGAATTGACTGAAGGAAGGCATCTCTGACCATGTAGCACACCCCCATTACTGAACTGAAGTGTCAGCTTAGATTGAGTTCAAAATCCCGTTAGGCCAGAACCATCTGAAATGAAAGTGTCACTAACTAAGGCAGGCTGACACAAGTAATAATACAATAATAATCTTTGCATTTGATAAAGTGCCTTATCACGTCCTCGAGATGTCTCAAAAAGCTTCACAGAATATACTGTAAAATAAATTGACTGTATATTTGTGGGCGAAAATGTTACTTGAATTACATGACTGGATTGGTCTGATTGATGAGAGCGATTTGGTGCATTGTTCCCTGATGGAAGCTGATGCAAAATAAAGGATTTCTAAGAGCGTACGATGTTTGTCAAAGACTTATGTATTTCTCAAAAATAATTTTATTCCAGTTTCTCTCTCAGGTGAGTTGCCATATTATGCAAGTACTGCACATGCAGCATTCCTCTCAAAGCTTGGACGCTGATTTTGGCTTTCTCACAACTTTTTAAAATCCAGGCTTGCTGATTTTCTGTCTCCTTTTAACCGTTCTAGAAATAGTCTGTTGAAGATATTTGCAGTGAAACGTATGCCAGTGTAAAACTGAAGTGTATAGTAGCTCGCTCCACTGGATGAGCTTGCCACATCTTAGGACACTATAATTTCCGTAGTTCTAAAAAGCAATGTACTTTAGTAACTGGGTGATGCAATTCCTTTTGGAACACAGTGGGCAAGGTTGTTAAACACTGAGATAATTTGGTGTTGCTGACATAAGTCTATGCAGAACCAAGTGAATGTCTTATACGTTAAAGCAAGATTTACCTAAGCTATGTATTGTAATTATTCTGCATTTTTTATTATTGAGAAACCTGAATGAAGAGCAGGATATCACCAAACTTAAAAAGGGGAGAGATGACTAGATAAATGAAGTAAATGGATAGAAACTATTTCCACTGGTCGGTGAGTCAGTGAGTGACTAGAAAGCATCGATTTAAAATAGCTAATGGGGAGGTTTAGAGTTTTTTTTAAATGCACAGAGTAGTTGGGTTATGGAATACCCTGCCGGGAGCAGTGGTTGTGACAGAATCCATATTGGCTTTTAAAAGGGAACTAGATAGATACCTTTAAAGGAGTCTACAAGGGAAGGGGCTGGTAAATGGGACTTAGATTGTTCTTAAGAGCTACCACAGACACAAGATCACAAGATGAAGGCCCATCCAATCTCATGCCTCCGGAATACCTACCCTCTTATCTACCACAGCATCCCCCCCCCTCCAAATCTAGTTTAAGTGAACACAATTGCTATTAGATAGAATATACAGCACAGAAACAGGCCATTCAGCCCAACCGGTCTATGTCGGTGTTTATGCTCCACATGAGCCTCCTCCTGCCCTTCCTCAACTAAGCTTGTCAGCATAACTTTCAATTCCTTTCTCCCCATGTACTTATCTAGCTTCCCCTTAAATACATCTATGCTACTCGCCTCAACTACTCCTTGTGATAGCAAGTTCCACATTTCCACCACTCTGTTGTGTGCCAGCAGTTTAGCACCTCATTTAGTTAGACATATACCATCCTTCATACAGACACTTCATCTACTTTGAAAATGTTTCCCAGTTGTCCACAAGCTTGATTCCCTTCTGCACACACACTTCCTGACCAGTAGTGGAAGCTGATTAACATGTTAATTTTTTCAAAACTTCTGAGTAATATAGACATCACCATGTTTGCTCACTTCTTTTCAAAACTGTTAACCAACTCCATACATTCTTGCTTTAGCTGCTCAGATTTTCCATCCATAATGTCATTTGTCCCCACATGTAAAAACACAACTGGATTAAATCCCTCCCCACTCATTATTTTACCTGCCCTTACATTTTTACTTTTATATTTCATCACCTTTGCCCCTAGAAAGCAATATACAGCCTTATTTGTGTTATCTTCCTTGCAGAGAACTCATTGTCCACAAACCTTACTGATAAGTCCCCTAATAGAATGTTATCAAACCTCACGCTACATGTGGCTCATTAAGGGTCTTAGTATGGCTCACAGCCACCTCAACTTCAATAGAAAGCATGTATCTCAGAAGATTATTGCTGACAATTTGTTTATAGAGACACGTACATGGCTTTTTAAATGCATTATATGTATGAGGTAAAAAATTCAAATGAAGAAATCATCTGAATAATCGAACAAAGTGAGTTTATTTAATTGATACTAAATTGATGTTTTTTGAGTGACAATATAATATATTAAACACACAGTTCCCGTGAACTGTTTTCCATTTATTTAAATGAATATAACTTGCACCTCCTTATGTCTCTACTCTCTTCATATGTAAATGCGTGTCAATTAAACACTAGCAACTTGCACGTGCAACTGCACAAGCATCAATGGCTTGTGTACAAAGTTGCATTTGAAAATTAACTAATTATTGCGTAATTGCTGCAAGTTTGAATTGAACGTGGAATAATCAAAACCCCCCAGTGTTTTCAATGTATTTATTTATACACGCAAAAGCAATGTCTTTGTTGTAGTGATTCCACAAAGACTACACTGTTACTGTGTGTTTTTGATTCACATCGTAAGTAATTAGATATTCACACATGCATCTCCGGTGTAACAATTAGAAGTACAAATCTGCAGAAGGGGGAGTATCTTGTTGTTGTCTGATGCGTCATTTACATCAGCTTGTTGAAGGTTCACTGGTCATGAATTCTCGTGAGAGATGGAGTCCACTTCTGACCATGGTTCTCTTTCCATACAAAACTAGGGATTATAATCTTTAAAGGGCATTGTTGCTTAACATGCTAGAAATTATGGAGAAGTTTGTTCTTCGTGAAAATTTCAAAGAAAGTGCAGCTGCTTCTGCCGAAACTGACTGTTCACACTGGTCATGAGCCACACGTGTAGCTCAGTACAAATCTGGTCTTGGAATCCCTGGCTGAATACATTGACTTTCATATTTATTATACAAACCCAATTGGTGCCCTTCTACGCCTCACACATGTGCTGTATCCAATAAAGAAAACAAAGTTGCAAGAGCTTCTCCTAGAGATTGCTCCAGGTGCAGGCTGCAATGCACTCTCAACCACACATGCAGATCATTCACCTGTGTGTGGCACATCGATGTAAACAAATCTGCCGCCGTGTTATCCCGTAAAGCACACAGCCACCACACGTCACGGCATACTCTGTGACGTGCCCCGATTATTATTAATAATTATTGATAATAATCCTTGCATTTGATATCGCAAATCATTTAGACATCTCAAAGTTAACAATTCACAACGAAGCGCAGTGATATGCACCCTGCAGGTGAACACAACAGCAAGCCTGGACACAGCAATGCAGCACAAAGAGCCACAAAGTGAATGACCCAAAGGCAGCAAATACCTTGTGAGGGCCCCATACAAAGCTCGAAGCAGGGTTCCTACCAGTGTTGCGTGCAGTTGTTTACGGCATGGTTTGAGCTCCTCAGTTACTGGGAAACTGGCTGAGAGTCCGGGCAACTAAACATGGTAGGTGGCTGTCCCACCCCAGCGGCCTGGCTATTGGCTGAAGGGTGTCCAGTGTGGACCTGGAGGGGCCGAGATTGGCTGTGACCATCATGCTGAGCGCCTCCTGCCCCAGGTGGTTAGGTTGGCAGGAGGCAATTTCAGTAGGTTTTTGGAGCAGAGTGGAACCTGACCCAAAGCGTATGAGCCAACAAGTAATTGAGTCACAGTGACAGGGCCCTCTGCAATTGCATGGATTGCACGTACCTAATGCTGCCACTGCATTGACCAACTTTACCTGGGGATGATGGCTCAAGTGGCCACCTCCTGTGCTGTATATTTCTGTGGTCCTATGGTGACATTGTGGTTAGGTAATAATATAGGTTTTAAAAGTCTGTAGATTATGATGAATTAAGAAATCTTACAGTTCATTTGCGAAAGAATGATTTAGAGTAGGAAACCTATGGTGTTTTGATTTCAATCCTGAATATGCAGGAAGGGGGAAGTTAATATTTGGAACTTAAAATGAAATAACACGTGCATTTGATGGAAAGTGTAAGACTTCCATTTGGAATTTTTCATTTTCAATATTGAAGCCCGAACAGTGACCAGAATACTTTTTGTGACTGACTACTGCTACATCAGCGGTATAGTTCATTGATGGAAGTATTGAGAAAACTAATTGTCTAAAATTGTTGATGCATCCCACGTCAAAAGTCATGTATTTGGAGAAATTTGAGGTTCTAATTCAGAAGAAATGGCCATGTTTGCTCTTACATTTAAGGTGATTGACAAGTTTGTATTGTTTAAACAATGTTTTCTTTCTTGCTCCCGATTTACATCAGAAATTACTGTCAAGTAACATCTAATCTAAAGTGTAAACCCTGATTAAATGAAGTTTTGGAATGAGCACATTTTATATGGGGGTGGTGGCATGATTAGAATACAAACCATGTAAAAGATTTAAAGTGTGTTGAAGTCTGTCTTCAGTTTCAATGCTAACTCATTGTTGCTTCAGTTATAATTGTATTTGTTAAGTGTCACTCCACACTTCTCTCTTGATCAATTTGAAACAGCATTTTCTCACAAAGCTGTTCAGTTTTT